AGTGATGGTCTTTGTGACTGTTACATCATCAATACACTTGGTGATGTAGGCAGTGACAGTCTCTGAGTACTCCGTGGTGTTATTGGTGTTATTGTATGTTGCAGCCTGCTTAAACATATTCCAGTCAGTGGTGTTAAAACAGTCCTCTGACGACTCTGACGACCCTTCCGGCCACACTTGTATCTGTTTGTGAACTGGTTTGGTGACTTTAACGAGTGGTCTGTATGCAGGCATTAGCATGACAGTGATGTGGTCTGAGGCACCGAGGTGGGGGAGGGGGAGGGCCTTGTAAGCTCCTCTCTGTGTGGTGTAAACAAAGTCTAGAATGTTGTTTCCCCGAGTTGGAAAGTCTATGTGTTGGTGTATTTTTGGGAACACACTCTTTAAGTCTGCGTGGTTGAAATCCCCAGCCAAGATGAGAAAAGCATCGGGGTGGGCTGTCTGCTGCTCACTGATGTGCTGGTACAGTTCATTTAGTGCCTCGCTCCTGTTGTTGTTGTTGGGAGGGATGTATACAGCAACGAGCAGTATGGCTGTATATTCCCTCGGTAGATAGAACGGCCGGCACTTAATAATCATAAACTCCACCAGGGGTGAGCAGTGTTTGCAGACCACAACAGCATCGCGGCACCACACGTCATTGATGTAAACACAAAGCCCTCCGCCGCGGGTCTTACCTCCCTCGACGCGAGCTCTGTCCGCTCGATAGCATGTCAGCTGATCGAGATGAATAGCGCAGTCCGGAACGCTGTTGTTGAGCCATGTTTCCGTGAACACAAAAACACAACAGTCTCTTACAGTCCTCTGAGTTGAGGACTCAGCCTCAATGTTCTTGCAATAATGAAATAACGTTCTGGAACATGAGGCAGTGGGGGGGCGCGTGACATGCTGCGCCTCTCTTTCGCTCAAGCAATCGCAGCAGAAATATTTTCATCCCTGTGCTTGTAGTTGTACAAGGAGGAGAAATAATAAATATATAAATGCATTAGTAACGCCTGTCTTACCACATAAATATTCAGAGAAAGAAAAAAAGACACATGGTACAGTGTGTGTAATGGCTTCATCACAGTTATAATACTGTAAGAGAGTGCAGGCCCTGCTGGGAAAATAAGCAGTTTAATTTTTATCATTTTATAAACCAAAATAAATTCTACTGCATTCTTGCAGTGGTGCAAAAAGTGATTGTGTATCTCACCTGAAGGGTCTCCAGTTTGGCGCCACAGTTGATGAATATGACTCTGGTCAGCAGCAGCAGGAGGGGGTTGGACACTAGACTGTAGACAGATTCTCCATCCAGCTGAAGACTGGATAACACAGCCATGTTCAGGGCCGCAGGCTGTGTGTGTGTGTGGGGTGGGGGGGGTGAAACAGAGAAAATTTAAACACTTTTCCTAAAAATTTAAGAAAAAAGTATTCAATTAATGGGAAATAAGACATTTCAAGTTTATAAAAAAAAAATTAAAAAAAACCTAGGCAGTTTCTACTAAGTGAAAGTTAATTTGCAAACTTTTTACAAATTCTGTAGTGTTTTTTTAATTATTAAATTTGCATAAGATTAAATTAATATATTTTAGTTTAGCACTATAAAATAACACAAATATGTTGTTTAAACTGCATTTAATCATGGCACATTTTAGTAACAGTCAAAAACAGAACAAAATAAAACAAAACAAAATGCCTTCATTTAAAGAGGTTTTTGGTTACATTTCTTTATTCATTTTATATTCATGCCCTACTGATGGTAAGTGCCTTCAGTCCATCCATCTCTCTCCCAGTGTGCTGCTCTCAGTCTAATTTAGAGGGCTTGTGCTCTCTAGGACAAGGCTGATAAATCATCAGCTTTAGAAAGGTGTGAGACAGCAGAAAGTGTTACACACATACAGTGCCTCTCCAGGGATCTACGAGGCCTCCGTGGGGCATTAGGGAGAAGAATCTCTTCACCTCCGCATAATTAGGAGCCCTAAGAGTTTTCATTAGCAACCCTGCAGCCCTCGACACACTCATTATCCAGAGCACTGACCTCCCAGAGTTGCCATCTCTTTCCATTCCATCCATCATACACACTTACATCCCACACACATATCACATCATTTCACATGAGCATTTAGTCATTTTATCACTCATTAAAAATGTGCTGATATTAACAAAATACTGCTTAACCCAAAGGGTTAAGACAAAGAATGCACAAAATGTACAAAAAAATCATCCCTGAACTCAAGTAGATAATAAAAAAATCAAATAAAAATAAATCTATAAAATATCGGAATACATTACTTATTACTAGAGATGCATCGATACGAAATTTCTCAGCTGATACGGATGCCAATTATTCAGAATAATATCTGCTGTTAGTCTGGTTTTCTTAAGGAAAAAAATCTCTCTCAACTAATGCTGCAAACTACACAGAGAACCCTCTCATTTGGTACATTAGAGGTTAAAATTAACAACATTATTATATTAAATGCTATTTGTTTTTGGATATAATAGTCACTCAAATAAAAATGTCTGTATACAGCTCAATTGCACGTTTTCATAACAGATTTATTCAAACATACAGATATAATTAACAGTAAATAAGCTCCCTCTAATGTATTTTTTTAGCTAACTAACCAACTGTGAACAGCGGATAACTTTCTTGAGGTACTTTCTTTCGAATGAAACACTGATTGAGCGATTATATGAGACATGATACATTTTGGTGAATTGTACTGTATCTTTCAACACTGATGTTCATTCATGTTTATTTTGCACTATAACTTGTATTAAAAGTGAAAGAAACAAGCTCTGTGCTGCCGCTTGAACTGTGATAAAATGTACAGAATTTGAAAGCTGAGACTTCGTTTCTTATTGGAAGTAATAAAGTACAAAGCTCTTTTTGATAATTGGATTGGAGGTGCATTACAAATAATGTTTTGTGAAAGGAAAACAGTGGACCTGGCAACCCTGGCTTGAATCTTGGGTGGTTCATAGGGTCCAATAGAATTTGTGTTAATGGTGCTTTGTTAATGCGTTATTATTGTTTTAACCTGGACTGCCCTAAATTCGACAAAACATTTTCTTCACGCAAGTTGCAGTCTGACATGCATCTCTGCCACCTTTTGATTGACAAGAAATAATCGAAGAAATAACCCTGATCATTGGTTGTTTTTAAACAATCGGCTGATGACAAAGAATTGCTTTTATCAGCAGATACGATTATTGAACGATACATTGGTGCATCCCAAATTATTACAGACAATGACACTGGTCGTGCATGTAATCACAGGCGCATCATGGTACTGTACCTGTGAGAATTTCTGGAGCAAAGCTTCAGGCAGAAAATCAGAGATGTGGAGCTCAACTGGCGGCCCGGTCCAATTACTCTGAGCGAAAAGGTTCAGACACCCCACTGCCAACGCCAACAGAGCAGTTTCTCTACAGCAGACAAGAGATCAGGTTCAGAAACATGCATGTTTGAGAGCTAATCTCATTACAGCCACTGGATTTATTGATCTGAAATACACAGACGTTGATTTCCACCACAACATCCACCAGGTAAATGTTGTTTATTTCTGAAAACATCTCCACACTTTTATGGCTTTGGCCTTCACGATTCTGATCCCAATGTACAGACCTGAAGGAATGAATCAGGTGGCAGCAATGTGCCGCCTGCTGAAATCAAAGACCTGAGATTGTAATTCTGCTCTATGGTTGAGTCAGTCCCCAGACGCCATTGAGAAAGGACATATTTACATGCACACACATCCACACATTCATGTTTCAGTGCGATCTACAGCGCTGACGTGTTCTCACAGGAGAGAAACTGTTGCGAGTCATGAATCTCATTGTATATTTTGGTGTTTTTAATAATCAAATAATACATGATGGATAAATGAAAATACACAAGAACACAACAAAAAGAGAAGGTGAGGACAAAAAGAAAAAGGAAAACAAAAAAACAAAAACAAATGACATACATCTCTCCTGCATTCAACAGCACACAGACATCAATCTACCAGCATCTAATCTCGCTACAGCAAGCATTGATCATTATTCAAGCCACTCCACTCATCTACAACTACTTTCTGCCTCACTAACAGAAGAGAGGCTGTATAGAAAGAAAAATAAAGGAAGAGGGAGTGTGATTGAGCAGAAGAGAGATAAGAAGAGAGGCACGGCTGAGGAGCACAGAGCAACCCTCCTTTCCTCGACTCGTTCTTTCTCTGGAGAGAGAGGATGTTAAAGTGGGCTTACCGAAAATTAATAATTTATGGCTGAAAGTAGGGGGACAGTGTCTGAACTCTTCTGTATGGTTTTATTCATTCTCAACACAATAAAACGCTCCACTCAGCTGAAGCCACCATCAACCACTACAAGCACATGGTGCTACACAACGCACTTGCAGTGCAGTCAGCTTCCTGGGTTATAATGGAAGCATTCTAGTTTTGTGTTTCTTGCTCTGTGTGAATATGCAAGTGTGTGAATGAATATTCTGTCATCATTTACTCACCTATATGACTTTCTTCTGTGGAATACAAAAGATATTTTGAATGAAAATGTCAGTGTGTTTTTTTTGTCCATAAAATGACAACACCATTGGATTTTCTATACTGTGTGTGTGTGTGTATATGTATGTATGCATGCATGCATGTATATATATATATATATGTATATGTATATGTATATGTATATGTATATATATGTATATGTATATGTATATGTATATGTATAT